ACCGACTCGCCTTCCTTCTCGAGAAGCTCCTTGTTCTCATCCACCCAGTCCTGCACGTTTGCCGGTACCTTGGACATGACAGGGACTCTGTACTTGGCCCATTGGTTGAAGTGCGTGGGAAGGACCGCGTTCTGGTTGTTGTGCTCGAGACCGCCCAAGTTGTTGATCCACTCGCAGAATCTCGGGTGGCGATGCATGAGATCAGTCCACTTCTGCATCGCGGCTGGACTCACATGTTCCATGGCGCCTGGGGTCAGTGGACCGCGGACAGTCAACAAGTCCTCCATGAACCCCAGTAGCTTGCGGTACAGGTAGCCTCTTTGATTCTGGATGAAGACCTCGTAGAGGCCAGCAGCGTCAAAGGGACAATCTCGAGGGTTGAACTCGAACCTCGTATCGCTTCGCACACCGAGACCCCAGGTGTACTTGATGACGATAAGACGCAGGCAGTAGTTGGCAAGCTCGTGCATCTCAAGGGTAATTGCTGCATTCCAAAGAGCCTCAATGTCGCTGTTGTGACCAATGGTGGCGTCGCTCACGTCAGAAGGATCCATCAATCTTCCGACATAGCACCACTGAATGATCTGCTTCCAGATCATAATAGCCCTACGGCCATTCTCGCCAAAGCTTATCCAGAAGGCAGACACAGGCTTTCGGGATCGTTCAATGGCTTTCTTGATGACTGGGGACCAGTAACAGAGCAAGCTGGCGTGGCAGGTAACATGGTGACGCTCGCGTCTCACTCCGTATCCGATCGCGATCATTCGCTGGCTTCCGTTCGCTAAGCTGTTCTTTGTAAGCTTCATTGACTTTGGTAACAATCATAACACGGCAATGAAATGGTGTTTTACTCACATTGTTGCAACAACCTGCGTGTGCTCAAAGAGCTCCCGACTCACCTCACACTGTCCCTTCAAGCCGTATGAGCACGCCTCACAAGTACAGTACTTGATGAACTCGGAACCGGTCGGAAGTCCAGACATCTTGGCTGCCGACGGTGAATAGTCTCGGCAGGTTGTAGCTATATGTATGGAACAAATGCAGATAGTAGGTGTAGAATGGTAAGATCGAGTGTTGAGAAGAGGGTGATCAAAGGAAAAGAAACTTTTGAGGGAAGATGTTATCGTCGCTCTGACGAATATTCTAGAGGATTGCCTGGCCAGTATAATGCGAACAGAAGACAGAACTTGAAGGAAATCACATCCAGCGAAACTTGATCGTGAAAGAAGGTTCCGGTGAGCATTTGCAGAAGTAGAAGATGCAAGGGAAATTTGGATGTGCTTCTGTAGGGTTAAATGGAGTCTGGGAGGAAGTAGGACACGATGAGAAGCAGAATATTTGTGAGAATTTAAAACCCCTCACGAGATACCATGCGTCCTCACCTATCACGCCCTCTTCGTCTTGTCTCTAGCTTTCTGACAAAGTGCTAAAGAAAATATTGTGTGATGTGCGACCGTTGATGAGCTCTAGAAAGCTGCGTGACAAGCGTCGCTGTCCCTTATGACTTGAAAAGGGACGAAAAGACCTCGTAGGTGCAAACTGTAATCCTAGTGCTCCCCTCAACAAAGATACACAGGACATCTAGACGATAGGTGCTAGATGCGTCAAGGGCAAATATGGCATGAGGTTTCAGATCGAGCCTCTGTCGTTCCAGTTCCCGTCCTATGTTCATGGAGCTACGACCATTTGAATATTGACTCACAAATAGTGTCGTGGTGAGAGTAGCACACATTCAACCAGATAGTATGGATTTAAGCCAGGCACCAATTACATGTACTCGCATTGGTGGACTAAGAAAGGACCTGCATGAATCCCCTTATCTTGCCCACCCAGTGCGGCTCCAGCTCTAGTACTTGCCTTGTGTTTGCCTGCTGTACATACCAGTTCACCATTGTGCCCCCCCTTAAACGGCATGAGGATATGGCGCCCCATGGGGAAGCTACACAAGCAACATATTGGCTAGACGGGGCGCCTTCCCCGATGTAGTATATCTATCGTGAATCTTGCACCGGAAGTCGGCAGATAGGGGGGAGGTTATCAAGATCTAACGCTATCCTAAGGGGCGATCTTGTACCTTGCTGCAGGACAAATACAATCGTCCCATTCATTATTCCTAGCAAAGGGTGTGAAACAAGGGGCTCAACACTCACGGCCCACATATCAGTGTGCTGTCGAAAGGGGGAAGTAGCAAAAGATACCTCGGAACCTCAGTACCTACTCAACTAAAGTGAAGTATTATGTATCCCTCATCTGGAGTGGTTGTGCGCAATTTGATCGTACAGCATAGTATTTTTCATAGCATGATCTGGGAAACATTTACAATTATTGCACTCACTGGTTTGCCCTTTTGGATAAGGGTTGATGGAGTCCCAAGTGTAAATCACTGAGAGGCTAGATACTAGAATATACACCTACATTATTAGTACGAGCAACACAGTGGAACTGTGAGGAAGCAAGGTCACGATGTGGACTGTGGCTACACACTCTAGCTTGCTTGAATCAGCTCCGTCTGAAGATAGCCATCGGTTAGGAGCTTTTGGGAATACGTTAGTTGGGCCAGTGATATACGGTACAAAATTAATTTTACGTTGATATGTTAGCGATTAAAAGTATAACATACCGCTAATATGCAGCATCAGCTAAGCTGTAGGGTCGATTGTAATAGTAGGCCATTAGTGAAGTAAGAACTGAATCTGAGAGTACAGAATAGGAGTGGACAAAAAAAGAAGAAAAATAATTATTAACCCAAGGACGGTGGTGAAAATATCAGTCTGCAGCTATATTTTATTGGCGTATCACCCTACCAGCATCCTTCTATGAGAACTATACCCTTTGGCATACGTAGTAGGAACTGAACTGTTCCAGGTCGGTGCTCTAACGACATGACAACCAATTCAAAATAGTGCTAACCCTATGTGTTGGGTATCCTATCTTCCACTTGTTTTATATTGAAGATATCCTTTGAAATGTAGAGAATCGTAATGGATTACCTATGGCATGGCCAATTACTTACCTCAGTATATCCAGAAACTACTAAATTTCTTGTTAAATGCCTCTGTAAGACCCATATTATATACTTGGACCCCTTGAAGCCATTAGGACTCAAAATGAGACATCTAGAGCAAGGCATACCTCTAGTATATATGGCCACAGACGCCCATATTTAGGTACCTACCTATTTAGAGTTCATTGAGGAATAACTAGATTGTTTCTATGCTTCTTGCTCTGTCCCGTGATAGAAACTCTACCAATGACATATATATTCAAGTACTATTAATAAGTTATACGAAGCACAAGATCAGTTGCTCTTACATTGGATTTATATATCAATGCTCTCACATCTTTGGCCAATCTAAAATCTGCATCAAGCTGTTTCCAATAATGCATTAATCCTTTAAACTTAATAACATCTAACTATGCCTGGCTCAATATCATCCGTCTATGAAATGATTTGCATCCAAGAACCATTAGAGATCATTACAAATTCATTAGAACTCATATAAGTCTCTTTATTACTTTCATTGTACCACTACCTATAACAGAGCAGGAATTTTACTCTCTTAGAGAAAATGCGTATGTCAAGTATTTGCATTTCTCGGTGCATGCAAGATGTAGCCTTTGACAGTGTGTACCGGTGTGTAGGTACCAGCTCCGCTTGGGTCCACAGCGGCCCCGCACTCGCACCGTGCCGGATGTGGGTCCGGCTGTGCTTACCTAAAACATGCATATAGTGTAGTTGCCGTTAAAAGTACAGGCCATGTATAAAAGAAGTAATATCTTTGGGAAAGAGATTCTTATATTAAATAACTAACTGACATTTATAAACACTAAGCCCTTCTTCTAAAAACAGGGCAGCAAATATCGTATTGCCTCTTCCTAAGTACACCATATATGTGGTTGTTATCTCTAAACTGACGTTTAACTATACACCTTAGGTACTCTTGTAAGTTTTCTGCTAGAGGTGTACCTGTGGTGTAATATACCGAATGAATTGAAACTCAGAGTACCACAGGTAGATGAATATAGTAAAGTCATAGTCTTCTCAAAATAGAAAGGAGATCCAGAGTTCCTAATGAATAAACCAACTTACCACATAATACTTACCTTCTGAAATCTTAGCACATAAATACTCTCAACATAATTATCTTGCGTATTGCAATTTGCACTTCATATTACTAAGTAGCTACATTACATAGCCCTTAGACCAGAGGGTTTTAACCGGGTATCATCCACCACCCCCTGGAGCGCAAATAAATCCATGCGTCCACAACAGCAAACCTCTAGGGACCAGGTATCAAAGCAGTAGTAACTAATGTACAAACCGACAGCAAGATGGTCAAGCTAATGAATCCTGCACCCAAGATGAGTAGGAAGATGTAATCGCGTTGAAAACCACGAGCCCTAATGCCAAATCCCAGTTCCTTAATACCTGGGAAATAACGTGGGCCCCCATTTTGGTTTTACAACTAACCCTTCCCGTATCCGCAGTCAATCTGGTCTCCTAACGTCTGCGACGCAATGTGTAACTCTTTGCCAAACCCCTCCGCACTTCGCCCAAAGTGCATCTCGTTCATGGCATGGCTTCCTGCTTGGGCTGCGTAAAAAGTACGGCTTCATCTGGGGCGAGAGTAATGCGGCTCTTCGTGCCGAGAAAGTTCCGGAATGCATAAAAAAACAAGGAAATCGTAGTGGTAGGTAGTGTGGATCGTGATGGACCGCGATCATATCGGACGTAGTACTCCTCATATTGCTGAGGAAGCATCGAAATCGTAGAAAATAGTAATCAGACTCGTAAGGAAATAAGCGATTCGTGAGTTAGCACCTCACGAAATGGAAGTGCAGAACAGGGTGTCTCGACGTTTGGACTCAAAAGCCTAAGCTTTGATGTCTGTCGAAAGAATAGGTCGGGTGTCTGGGGGAAAAAGACCAGACGCCAGACCCTTAAAACCATACGCCATGCTCTGATAACACATTATGAGGATTAAAAAAGAGGCACCGGCCAATGAGCAAATCAGATACCGGATCCAACATAGCTCAGGGCAATGCAACCGGCCGGTATGCTATGCAAATGCCTGTCTAATGCTGAAACGAAAAAATGGGTATAATAAAAACAAAGTCGACTAAATCAAATAACCCAGTCGGAAATAAGGACATCAAAGATTTGATGAGTAGTGCGACGACTAGTAGTGTCAGTAGGAAAGAGACAGTAGTCTCGGGTTTGCTCTGGCCTGGACCTAGAAAAGGCCTGCAGATATTTAAAAGGATGCCATGCGACGGGCAGGCGATCGGTTGTTGCCAAGGATCGGTGAGTTGCCAATCATCATAACTGGCGAAGGGTGTTCATAGCGTCTTTCAGGCGCAGTAGGAGAGGCTTCAACCATGGACTCTCGATGCCCAAAAGCAAAGGTCTTGGCTCTACCCAGACCTTTTCGCTTCTGTTGCAACTTGCCCAATTCGCGCTCGCAAGTTCTAGCGTGCTCCTCAGCACCCATCTCGACGTAGGCTTGCGGATAGCAGCGCTCGCGATTCTCAATGAAGAACTCGCTATATCCGCCATCGAGGATATAAACTTCCGGGTACGTCAGTCGAGGATAGTACTCTGCGTTGACCATGCGGTCCGATGCCCGGATGTGGCGGGCCATCATTGGTGCACGGCAAGCAGAATATTCGCAGTGGAAAATCAACAGTGTCTTCCCATCCATAGGGTTCTCGAAGAGGTGCTTCGCCAGGAGTTCCTTGTCATTGTAGTTGATAGCCGCATCAATATGACCTCCTTCATACTCATATTCGAATCGACAGTCAATTACCATCTTCTGCGTGTAAATATCGTTGAATTTTCCATCTAATACATCAAGGAAAGTATCTCTCGAAATTCTCGGGATACTATCGTTCTCGCCATCAGGGTAGAAATGAGGTAGAATCGGGTCTTGGGATTCCTCGATGTCCATCACGGATTGTAACGTGCTACGGGAAGCAGGTTCTTCCGAGCTAGCCTTCACAACATCGTCTGGGCTGTCAAACATGCTGATCGATCGACGGTACTGCCGACGAGGTCGTGCAAATGGATTTGAGACCCGACGAACGTGGCTGGGAATAGGGGAACCTGAACCTGTGCGAATATCTCGAGCTCCGTTAAGTGTTGCGAACTGAGCCTTGGACCGGGCACAGCCAGCATTGCCAGGGGTAGGGCTATGCGCCGTAGAGGGTCTCCGATCTTGAAGTGGGGAGTCGTCGAAGCAGTCGCCAGGAGACATTGTTGCAGATTGGGGCCCAAAGCGAAAAGTAGAAACTTGATTTTCTGGATGCAACTTAGTGGAGAGAAGAGCGCTGGTAGAGTGACCCTTGGTTCGAGATAGAGAGGGCCGGCGCAATCCTCCTCGCTTTCGGCTACTGTGCCTTTTGTTAGTATTGTTAAGATCATGCCAGTTTTTACCATAACATAGAACCTACTCAAACAACACCTTCGACGGCTCCAAGCCCATGGAAGATTGTCGGCTCACAGGTATAGGCGACTCCATCATCACATCATCCCCAGGCGTCCCCTGAGGTGTAGGCGAGGCGACCTCGAATGAGCTGAAGAATGGCTCCTTATTAGGTAAGGGCGAGATATCCATGGCATCGAATCCTCCCAAAGGAGAGGAAGTCATTGGTAGCGGTGGAGTCGTAACGTAACCTATCTAGATATCAGTATTTGACGCCCGGTTACCGTACCGAATACATTTTTTCTAACATACCCCGATTCTCGATGGCTTCCATCATATTTGATGTAAAAAGTGCACGACGCGGAGTCGGAAATCGGGGACTATTTAAACACGTTAGTACGAATCCGCCTTCAGCATCGTGTGTTTTCAACACACCTATCCTCGCTATCAATTCGGAAGTTTTGCGAAAGGTCTGCTGCAAGACTAGCAGCAGGAGAAGAACCTCGGACTGTCGAGTTGTTGAAATAATCGGTGTTAGATCGATGCAGCTGCTCGCGAATAGCAATGTTACCGGATCCAAAAGGGTTCCGGGAAGGCAAGTAATGGCGAGACTGTTGTCCCCAAGCCGGAGTCGGGGTGGGGCGCATGGCCGCCAAAGGTGAAGATGCATCCATAGTTGATGAATGACAAAACTGAGGATGTACGATAATAATCTTTACTCCTCAATGTTTACTTCCGAATACAATCGACTTTGTAGGATACGATTGTAATATACCGAGCGCCGTGATTAACGAATGCTCCCCGTATTCTATGATGTAACAGGTTGTATCTAATCTCCCAGAAGCCAACTCTTACTAAATTCCTTAAGCTCCTGTATACCAGGGAGTTTTAATGGCCGATCGAGATGATGTTTAAGTCTAAGGAATTAGGCAGTTTCGGAATCCTGAATTCCAATTGGCGTAGGATTCGGTTGAATTGGACTCAAATACCGAATTGTATGTACAATGGACAATGGACTAGATTTACAAATAATTTAGTTCTCAGATCTCGCCAATTCTAATTGTTATAGTATAATAGCAGATTTTAATAGTTCAGATGCGCTTATTCGGAGATTCCCGCATTTGAATATTGCGGGGTGAAGCTATATCCAAGTAATGTTCGCACGTACCTTGTGCAGCTGAACTGCGATGCAAGAATTGCCTAAATAGGAAGGTCGGTGGTCCAGGTGTAAGTAGAAAGTAGAAAAGTAGATAGATGATGTATACGGCTTTCCCTATAGCACGTCTAGGAGTCAATTGTCTATCGAATGTGGCGAATTGGTCGTTAAGTCTATCGGTGCAGTATCGAATAAATCCCTAAGCCGGTGACCGGTCAACTGTAATCAACTGTAGATCTGATCTGATTAGATCGTCCCGTCTAAACGACACCGAGATGAACACTTCGTTATGCCGAACACGTCTACCCCTAAGAGACATGTATAAACTTGTCGAAGAAAGCAGCACCTAGGTGTTGTTGAGAAAGGGACGTCGACTTTTAAGAGGTCGGCTGCAGGAGGGAAGAGTGAACGTGAAAAAGGTAGAAGGGGTTTTGATGCTTTTTGTTCTCTAGCTGACGGTTTGCAGAAGCCGGTAGCCCAGTAGTGTGGAGAAATCAGTTACAATAGCGGTTGCGAGGTAACACAGCCTGTCCTAGGCTTGCGCATCCAATCCCAGTGCAGGACAGCCTTTTTTAGTGCCCACTAACTTACCGTCGCCAGGGCAATCCAGTGGGTGCTCGCCGTTGCCCAGGTTGCCCTGTAGCTGAAAATGGCAGCTACCAGGTACCTAATGTCGTTGCTCACTGTTTTACCCGCCAAGCCGCCAGGGTCCCAAAGTGGGATTGGTTCCATTGGTGGGACAGCGGGGCGCTAAAATTGCTAGAAGCTATTTTTTGTAGTAAGAAACGTGTGAATTGGTTACATCATACCTAGCAACCAGCAAGCTTTAGCGGTGAATGCCTTGCAAGCCTTGTATTTCTATCCTTTTTTGCTATTTAGTACTGTATCTTAGGCCCTGAAATTTGAATTACACAAACATCCATTTGTCAAGCGAAGCTCTGATGGTTCTATATTTGCGGCATATGCAGATCATGGACCCTCTAACACGAGCTGAATATACTACATAGGTCATCTACATCAGGTACGTGTATCATTCAATTCGTCCAAGTGGAGATACCTACATAATGTATCATGTAGATACATACATACATTAGGTACATACATACATACACACCTGTACATACCTACTTACATGTATGTATCCACATCCCTGGGCTAGGTACATATGTTAATAATCGCGATCCCAGAAGCAAAAGCTACGGAATCATGCTCAATACCCAGTGAGACAAGTTCTTCCGCTCGGGTAGGTACTATCCCTCGTCAGACATGTTCACCCGAGTGAATACATAGAGAGCTTGGATTTAAGTAACCTAGGTAGTCCTATCCATAGATAGCTCGTACGAAAGTGGTATACCTAGCGGAAACGTACCGTCGCTACCGTTCCTCTCACCACTAACATCTTATATACCAAATACTTATATACGGCACAGTCACTTAATCATCTTTAGGTACTACCTGTTTATCCTCTTAACTGGCAGCTACCCGAGGTAACAACCCGTCTATTATCGACATTTTGATGCATCTGAAAATTATGCATACCATAGATTAGCTTCCGCGTCTTGCAGCTTTTTCGTACCGATATCCCATACAGGCTTCTCATACAGGCTTTAAAACACCAAAAGGACGGATTTGTCGTCTAGTCTAGGGAATACCCCAACCTGTGACGAGTGCATCTGTTTGTACATACACCCGGGCCCACCAACTAGTTTCCAGTGTTTGGCTATTGGCCCTGGCATCAATTGCAAGGTTTTGCGGGCTGAGACGAGCTATTCGAGCGGAAGTTTCGAAAAAAAAAAAATATCCCAAAGGCATGGCATGGTCATCAGCCTTCTTCGGAATAACTCGACTACGTTTTTCTATAGTTATACCTAACCTAGGTACATTGTATAGTGTCGTCACTTTACCCGACCAGTTAAATTGTTAAGTCGTGATTTTATATAGAACATCGGCGGCCGCAATTAAGATATTATTTGCCCGGAACAATTCACTTGACCAGGGGGCAATGAGGCTGTCTTGGCCTAGATTACCTGATTCATAACCACGTTTATTCATGTCTTATTGCTTCTCTAAGTCTCGGTTCTTTTATAAAGATTACCAGATGTCCGCCAGGGCAGTTTGACGATTTTCTACGCTAAGTTTTTGTTTGAAGATGAACCCTGCTTCTTATAGCGCGGGCCTTTGCCGGTAAGTAGTCGGACCCGCGTCTCCGAGCATCTTAAGCCGAGCACCAATACGCCGTCAAGTACCGCAACTATGTTACCCCAGATCTTGTAAGCCCTCGAAGAACCATGTCGCTTAAGAGACCATTGCATATTTTTGACGGATATTCTGTTTCGAATATATCATTGTATCGTACTTCTACCATATGCCAACAGTACATTAACTACGATGGAGCTTTGAACGAGTTCCGGTGTTCCACGATACAGTGCGCTGAAGGATCTTCCGGGGCTTCTTTGCTTTATTGCCTAGCTTCTGACGGTTGCTACGGTGCTTGCAGCAATAAGCACGACCCTAGTTTGCTATACGCATGGATGACCGTCGTCTACGTATTGTACAAAGTAATACTATGTGTTGGGACCTGTGGAGGGAGAAAAATAACAAGTAACTTTCTTCCGGGCCGCACCGATAATAAGTAATAAGTAATCGGTATTTTTCACTAGCTAGCCAGCCCTTGATGCAATTTTTTTTCAATCTACCTAGACAATATTGAGTAGCTGGTGGTGTGCTTTTTACAATACCGAAATGACACTCATTATCAATCCCAGACTCACTTGCGGCGTGTCCGGTAGTGATTGGACTCAACAAGCGTAAGCCCCATCAGTCCAGTTTGAAAGTTTGAACATCACCGACGCTTACGGTGTTATGGCCGCAGACGAGCGGACGTACTGTACGACGATGTGGAGGAACTAGGTAGCTCTAGAACTTTTAAAGACTCCTAACACCCCTTACGCTTTGAGCCTCACTCGGGGAAATTATTTTCACAAGCTCAAATTGAGGTAACGAAGCCTTAATTTGAGGGTTTAAAAGGGGGGGTTTATTTACTCGATATCCATTATCCTAATCCAAATGTTGGATCCATTCATCTCTACGGCAACGCGCAGCCCTGGGTATATCACATAAAGGATAAATTAATTGCGGCACTGGTCCAAGCCACCAGAAACCTTTTAAACCTGGGGGCACTCCGGATTTGTCTTGTCGGCTCCCTTCCGATAGCTTTTCAAACAATAGGGAAACAAAATCGATAGTATGTGGACCATCTTCGATCGCACATTGAAGACCACGATCTCCTAGCTTGTGGCAGACGTCATCTACATGTTCCGACAAAAGGCAGGATCTTCATAGCCGCTCTCTAGCCCGCACACCTACGCACAACCGAACTACTATGTATACTAATAACTAGTCTTTAGTTTCAATGGGTTCGCACCGGCGCATTTAAACAGAAAACTCAGTCGGAAACATATGCGCTCTACCACAGTCGACATCTTGCAACAAACCAGGTTCGAAGCCATTGAGATCTTGATCACTGTTGATTGTTTACATTTCATACATAATCGGGTGCTGCCGTGCTGTCGTGCTGACCGCTTTCGGATGACCTGCATAACTGTGCAGCAACAAGCATGATAAGGCGAATCACAGTAGTCGGGGAAGAAGGCAGCTGAAGACCCAATGAGATGGTTAGACTGCCTTACCGACCTCGCGCTTACTATCGCCGAGCCCAAGGCGCCTATTTAGTGACACCCTTCAGCTGCTGCAAAAAGAAGTCCTACCTCCAGAATAGGCAATCCCTTAGATAACAAGTCTTTTTAGAATACCTTCGAAGCTACTACATAGCCTAGCGATTGGTGAAGTTAGGAGAATAAGCGGCTATTTCTGATGAGACAACATATGGTGCCATCTTCCATTTAACAGGACCCGCCAGCGGTTGAAATACGACCGTGATCAAATAACTGTGTGATTCAGATTGCACCAACTTGTTTGATATCTAACAAGGGGGTACCCGTAAGTGTCCGCCGAGATGCGGAGTTGGGAAGATAGGAAAATGGGAAAATGGGAAGAAGAGGGGTTGTTTAACAGGTACAAAAAGTAAACAGCAAAACCGCGCAAGCTCGCGTGTCACTGTAAACATTTACCCATGTCCATCACGATATCACGAGGGGCGGCTAAGCTTCAAAGAGCTTAAAGCTGCGGACAAAAGACAGGGGAGCTTGGGGAAGCTCGGATCTCCAGAGTTGCATTTTCGAAATCCTACACAACCTTGCAGCCCTGGCCGTTTGAGACTCTGGGCCATCCAGATACGATTTGACTTAATTACGCTCTTCTAGAACCAATAACGGCTAGACTAAGGATCACCGATTAGCCCGTTTCGACGGACCTCAATTCACACAGCCAACCCATCTCACCTGACTGCCACAGCGTCTGAAACGGCCGAGTCTATGCGAATGGGTCGTATTCCGTACATAGATAATCGGAAAATCCTGTTTTCCATTAGAGCCGCATATATCGTCATCAGATATCATGCACTGTTCTTCCTTATATCCCGAGCGCGGCAGCAAGGCCCATATATCTGCGGCACCGACCAGCTTGGTTTTTATATTCAACGTCAGCATCGTCCAAGACATTGAAATTCAAGAGGACCATATTAAATTATTCAATCCTTTGCATATATGAATTGTCCAGATAATCGGAGCGGTTAGTTCGGTTCCTTTAGGATTCGGGAATCCTGATCCAATGCGCCGTTTGATCACATGCCGGCAGGATTCAGCTCCCAACGCGAGAGTAAGCTGCTTTTAAGAGAGTATGATTCATGCAAAATGGCGCAGATGCTTATGTTCCAACTGCATTTTGACAGGTTCTCGTGGTATGATTTCCATGCGTCATACCATACGGATCCGTACAGAGCTTCAAGTAGCCACGGAGCTCCTTATAGTTAATCGTAATGGAACGAGCTTAGTCCCTTGGCTATACTGCCACCAAACTTTGTCGCCTTGTAATAACTACCGATCCATTATTTAAGACTCGGGTGTAATTGTCCAACATTCCATTAACAGTGAAAATTACGTTGACCAATCATGTTAGCTGTAGGTATTATATATGTAGAACTCAGCACAGCAACTAAACAAGAACCAAGTAAAATCGTGAATTAAGATGTAGCACAAGCTCTACCGCCCGGTATTCATGGGAAGACTAGCAACTACCATAGTGTCCAAGTTCTGAAAAGAGACTTTCTCTCATCCTCCTCTACTTGCTATATGGATACAAGACCAAGTAGTTATACGTAAAAACTTAACTATAAGTTCTATTAGGTATCAAGATCATTATATACCTACCTGCATACAAGTACAATAGTGGCGTTAACCTTATCAATTGTTTCTATATATAATGTGCTCTGTCAAACACCTCGACTAAACAATATTTGGAAGCCCACATGCGTCGACTTAATATGTACCAGGACGCTCATAAACATACCCGAGCGGTTATTATATACTTGTACAGTGTTAAAGATATATCTGAAAGATAACCCCTTATTATCTATTTAGTCTAGCTGTCGTCAGCCAGCCCTCTATGTATTTAATGTCATATATCAGGTAAAAGGTTACCCATTAAAAAAGCATGTGAGGAATGTATCAACAAAGTGGCTTGATATTGATCTATCAAATCCCGTATGTTATTTAAATAGTTGCATATATAATATGTCCTATTCTATTAATCTTATTGGATCAAGATAAAACATCGTCATAACACTTTCCATAATAAGGAGAGAACACACTGCTACGGAATTCGAATCCGGTTGGTATGGAGTCCCATTTTTGGCAGCCAGAATATAAAGGGGCAAGATAACTTGCAACATTCAATACTAACATCCATCCCATCCAACTCCATTACAATTCAATCCGTCCGGAATAAAAAATGGCATCATCTACCTTAACCCGTCTCCCTGCTGAACTTCTTGCGTCGGTTCTATCTTACTTGGCTAATCGCGACATCAAAAACTTGCGGCTAACTTGCGCTTTCTTCCGAGATACTGCTCATCTACGCCTCACTCGAGTTTTTCTGTCCGCCAATCCCCTGAATATTAGCGTCTTTCACGCCATTACCGATCATGAAATGTTGCGCGGGGGGATTAAGGAGATCATTTGGAATGATGCGCGGTTGGCTCCATTAAATAAAATTTATGACTCGGGCTTCGAGGACGATTTCGAGGCGGATGACGAAGGTTCTTCTGCGGAAATCCCGCAATGGTTTTCTGATGCGTGTTATCTGAATATTGAACAGCTCAAGAAGTGGAAAGGGGGGGACGAGGATACCCCAGAACATGCTGCCTATGGGAGGACGAAATTTTCAAGAACAAATGGTGTGGCTATCGCATTATCACCCGAGAGCTCGCACAGAAGGAACATCAGATCTCCGAACTCGTTGTTGATGCGCATTTCCTGAATACCGGCCTTAACTGTCACATCTTCGACGAGCCGTGCGAGGAGTATGACAACCTCATAACAATTCTTCGGCGACCGGACTTCAAACGCATAGATCTCGACCTTCTTGGTCCGGCAGGCCGATGTGCTCTCTCTCCTCGCTTCACTGCCGCAGACGATCCGGTCGGTCGAGCTGAGCTTTTTCTATTTCTTGAAGGACGGAGGCAATCACAGAAACTTGCTCGTGGATATGCGCGATACCCTGGACTGGCGCGATAGGACCGAGAATGCGCGGCCAAAGGTCACTATCGGCGTGCACTTGCACCACCGATGCGCCGGACGGGAGACCCGGAACTACTTACCCCCTTTTAAGCGTTTACCTTAATAACTTTACGAATCTTGGTTCTACGAGTCTGAAAAAAGTACTATAATTTAAATGAGAAAATAACAAAGTTTCTTACTCAGGTTGCACGTAATTTGAAACTGAGTTTATAAGGATATTGAAAAGGATATATAGGTAATTACCTACATATACAAGTTCATACAAAATGGTATTCTAAAAGTACCTACAGGCATATTACATACACAAATATAAGTGCATCTCGACCAATTAAAGTTACCCGGTACGTACCCCCACATACTGCACGGCTAGCGTTGCTCTTAAAAAAGTGGCAGGATCTTATCGAAATCTTATCGAAATCTTATCAGAATCTTATCGTCGCAAAAAGCAAAAAAAAAAAAAAAGGTATAACCTAGAATTTAATACCATCAATGTCCTCGGCGCATGCTATTACAATAATATTGTAAGAACCAAAAGCCAGGTCAATTAATTGGTTCAATCAAACCAAAGTCTGCATTGCCCCTTTCCCCCCATCCGTTAGAAACAACATCTCAAGCATCTTCTTCACAATGGGCAAAAGGAAGCGCAGCGCCAACAAGGCCGGTCCCAATGGCAGCCAGCCTACGCAGAAGCGCGCAAAAACGGAACAGTCTCTGCCAAATGGCACCGAAGCTCTCAACCTTGACCTAGAAAAAACCCCCTTTACAGAAACACTGAATAGCGAAGCTCGAAAACGGGAAGCCAAGGTATACGAATTGCTTGGAAGTGCCGATAGCGACGAACGAATTGCTGCCGCCGATGCGCTCGTGACCGGGCTTCAGGTCTCCTCGGAAGCCGCACTTGAAAGGCATCTCGATAACCGACTATTCCGTGGACTTGCGAGCTCACGTAATGCATCCCGAGTTGGCTTCAGCCTTGTATTAGCAGAAATCCTGAACCAGCTGTTCGGTCCGAAGAACCTCGCCGAGTCGAAATATACTGGCTTAAAATTCGATAAGGTGTTGAATATATTGGTAGAAAAAACAACGTCTAGCGGGAATATCCCTGGGCAGGAGGAGAGAGACTGTTACTTCGGTCGACTTTTCGGTCTACAATGCTTTGTAGAGTCCAAGACCCTTTTTGATGAAGAATCGCGATGGTTAAAAGTCTTGGATCTGCTGCTGGATATGGCTGAGAAGAAAGTCTGGATGAGATCTCATTGTGGATGGGTTATCGTGGAATCGCTGCCCCAAATGGGACAGGACAGAGCAGAGGCAACGCTCCAGAAATTGTCTGATATTGGTCTCGGCAAGACCGCGGAGGGCATTGCTATCTGGATGAAGGCGCAAAGTTGCTATCCTGACCTGAAAACGCCGGCGAAACCCTGGCATGATCCTATGAATCCGAGTGTCCTGTCCGAAGTGGCTCGGATATTGAAGGATAATGTGGCACAAGACAACGGAGAGGACGCGGCGATCGCCAAAACTAAGCAAGGAGGCTGGAGCGCCCAATTACACTTTGTCTGGGATCTTTTACTTGCGACATTCCTAAGTCAAGAGACGGACGGGAAGCAGAGCAGAGACCAGCTGAAACTATTTTGGACCACCGTTATTGATGGTAAGCACTTTCTACCCGTGGCGTATTGACTATTCTAATTAAAATTCTAGATAGTCTTTTCTCCAAGAATGCTTCTGACGCGCAAAAGTTTCGGGGCTTTGTTATATTTCAAAAGTTCCTCCTTGGGTTTGCGACAGGAAAAGCCAAGTTTGCTAAGGAACTATTTACTCGGAATTTAATGAAGTGTCTGATGAACCAGGCTGCCAAGGAGGATCGATATCTCCATCGGGCTGCGCTGAAAAGTCTCCAATCGATCGAGAAAGCCGTGCAAGCCTCGCCAGAACTTCTGTTGCTAGTCCTAAACGAGCTAATTGGAAAAGCTGGGGCTTACGACTTCGACCAGCGAACGAGTACTAAGACTATTGAGAACCTGCTGCAGTGGGCTACTCCGGATAATGCAAATAGTGTTCTTAGGCTTCTTCGAGATCCCGTGGTCGCAAGCGAGTAAGTTTTTATATCATTCTAGAAATGGTTCAGTCGACTAACCTACTAGTAGTAGTGCAGCTAGCGATATCGAAAAACTTAGACAGGTGTATGCCGGCTATGTGTCTAAACTGGCTACCCAAGCAAAGCCTGCACCCGAAGTCTCGATCGACGATGAGAGTACAAATGTGGCCGAGCTTGGTGTAAAAGAATTAGCAGCATGTGCATATTCCGTACAAAGGCAATTTAAACCAGAATTATCGGAGAGATCAAGAGAAACGTTCCGCAGATTACTCGCGTCTACTATTGGAAAAGTCATGAGGCGTCGAGATGATGCCGAATATCTCTGCAATGCGGTTATCTCTGTCGAGCCATCGGCAGTGGATATGGGTGATGAGATAAAGGCTGAGCGAGATAGCGCACTGAAGGCCATACGAAAACTACTGAAAGCAAGCAAGAAATCAGATAGCAAGAATGCTGGGGCTTCAGTTGGCCTCGCTCTACTATATGCTATTACGATATTACAACTATATGATGGAGCACCGGATGCTATCAGCATCCTTCAGGATCTAGAGAGATGTTCCGAGAAGATGAAGAGCAAGGAAGGCGGTAGCTCGGAACTTCTGGTAGAAATATTGCTTGCATTGGTCTCTCGACAGTCACCAATGATGCGGCAGATTAGCGAGCAGGTATTTGAGGCATTCACTTCACAGATTTCCGCCGAAGCCCTCGAGCTTTTAACAGAGCCACTTCTTGCGGAGGAAAATCAGAAAGGGTACCAAGCCCTATTTGAAAACCTCGAGGACGAGGATGTAGAAATGGACGACGGCGAAGAGTCAGGGTCTGAAGATGAAGCCGAGGACATGGAGGACGAAATCTCGGAACTTGGCTCCGACGTTGAATTTATTACTTTAAATGGCGCCGAGGCAACAGCCGACGGCGATGACGACGACGACGACGAAGATGAACAAGATGAGGATGAGGAGGATGATCAGCAAGGAGAAGCAGATGCCAAAGAACTTGCGGATCTTGATGACGCTCTCGCGAAGGTCCTAGGAAGCCATCGCTTGGACAAAGACAAAGAGGCCGAATCATCAGATAATGACTCGGACATGACAGATTCTGAGATGATGGCGCTAGACGACAAGCTCGTCGAGGTCTTCAAGCAGAGGGCAAAGAACACAGGCAAGAAAAAGGAGAAGAAAGACGCCAAGGAGTCGGTCATCATGTTCAAGCACCGCATCCTCGATTTCATCGCTCTCTACCTTAAGCACGAGGCCGCTAACCCACTGGCCTTTAGCCTCCTCCTACCACTCCTAGAAGTCGTACACAGCACCACCGCCAAGCCTCTCGCCAACAAGGCAGCCGCGGCTATTGAAAACTTCTCCAAGGCCTTCAAGAAGGCACGGGCTGCCAGTGACAACAAGCACGAGCTTGATGCCACAGCGCAACTCGCGCTGATGCGCGAGATCCACCAACAGGCAGCCAAGGATGCAGCGCACGCCTACGGCCGTGCGGCATCGATGGCCAGTTTGCTCGTCGCATCGAGCCTTGTCGTCGTTGCCCCCGCCGGTGATCACGTCGACGCCATCAATGCGCTCTACGCGCAGACGTTTACCGAGTGCCAAAAGGGCACGCTCAAGCTACCAGGGTTCTTCTTCACCGACTGGGTTAATTGGGGAATGGGGCACGCGGCAAATGCCCAGCAGCAATCACAACAATAACAACAATAACAACAGCAGCAAGAAGGGGAGTCGTAAGAATGTTTACGTCTGGATTAGGTACCTACCTAGTTAACCAGGCAACCAGATTTGCATTAGCTAAACGGGTGGATATCCGGGCATATAGTGTAGTCCAAGATACCGAATATAGTAATATTTGTAGAACCTCCTTTCCGCTTGAAGCGTAAAATCTGGGCGTGGTGATTTCGCGTATTGCTGAGAAATGAGTTGCGGGACTAGTAAAGGGGGCGGGGCATGGATTGTGGAGGGATGAGAAAGGTGGATAGCAAAAAGAATGTGAAGACACTTATTAATATGTAGGTACCTAAGGTAGAAAGCCTATTAACTGCCTAACCTATACGAAAAAGTATTTCTATTATCGCCGTTGAGCTATCCGAATTTCTCACACCGGTTTATGTCCCTATGTACCATCGGTTTTGTCGTCTCGGCTTTTTTCCTCTCGGACCCCCCTGGGAGGACCATCTTCAACACCTAGGTCCTGTTGAGTAGAGGACTAATGGCTATTTTAGAAGTTCGCGTAGTCGCATCGTTTTTCTAGTTATAATATTTATTGGCTTCTGCTCGTCTGTAGGTGGAGTGACATAGACATGGAATGCGAATGATTTTATCGAGAAGCACAGATATTAATGAGGACATCAATTCCCCTTTCATGGGGTAATTGATAGTCTTCATCTTGACAAAGTAGGAGTTAGTATCCGGGACGTTGCGATCTGTCCCCAGTAGGTTGCGCCTTGGCCTAGTAGGTTCCCGTACTCTTGGAGTAAAGTGATCGTTATTCAATACTCTCACGATGCTTTAACACACCCATCTAAATCTTGGTTAGCTCACCGTTCTAGCATATACATGACAATATAATATACCATGTGGTAGCTAAGTCCTTCGGGACTCATAGCCGCATTCCATAGCCCAGCACAGCACTGGTGACAACATCATCCGATGACCTCCGGTTGCAATCTTGTATGACATTCTGTGTCTTCAAGGACACCATATGTACTATGCTGGCAGTCCTTGATGCCTGAGTTCTGTCTCTTCTGTCGCTTGTGCTATCGCATGTAATAGTCTCTGGACCTTGTTTGAGAATTGAAGAAATACGCTGGCAAGAGGAGTCATCATCTTCATTGTTGAACTTGCTATTAGCGTATTTGCTGCTGTCGCTATTAGTAGAGTAATTTGATATTGGACCTAATGCGTATGCACATTGAGTC